GTACACTTGAGAAGAACATACTCAGCCCATTTGTTAGTCAGACATAAACATGATAATAAAGTCAACATGTGGCCCAGTCTAAAGCGCGTCTCCCTGCAAAATGCCATGGCATATTTAAACACAACATGGCGTGGCATCAGGACGGATAGCCCACGGTCAGGACAGGCAGTAAGGATCTTAAACCAAAGCTGTGCGGTCATCGCCAGATTCTGTCAGTTACCTGCATTAAATAAAACCAAAAGGTCATTCAGGCTCTTTGGAAATCTGCTTGCTAAGCCTTTTCTCTTTTCTTCCTCATAATAATCCCTCCTGATGGTTTGTTTGGGCTCAGTCAGGGCTGGAGGGGGAGCAGTATGGCAGGAGAAAGTGAGGAGGTAAAGTGGGGGTCTTTGATGATGACGAGATTAGATATAGCCCGGCAGACTGTCTCCTTCTGCCTCCACTGCGAGCCCTGCCTCACACCCACCATCTTTCGGCTGCACCCAAACACACACGTACGGTTACATGCGCTTAGCTGCACACATATATTGTGAGCCACATGCAGGCCACCCCTTTCCTCATTGTTGAGGAATTACTTGCTCTTTAAGGTCTTATGTTACAAGAGCAATTGATCCCTCTGACCCCCTGCAAACCCTCGAGGTCGTGCTCGGGAATCTGAGCTCCAATGTATACACATAGGAGACTGCTCAGCCCCCAGAGCAGCAGGCTTCATACTCCCTGCCTTCCATGCAACACACACAAAAACTAATGCACATGGTCTGTGCTTGCTTGTTTGAATTCTGATTCAGCAAGTCTCAACACTGAGGATTTAGCACTTCCTGCTGGTTTAAAAACGGCACTACAGCTCTCTGCCTTCACATCAAGAAGAACTTCTGTTTTCTGTAAACTGAAAGCAGGGTTTACTGTTGAAGTTCATTTGTCATATCATAATAAGGTATTTTCCGTCTTGTGCAATGCAAAAAACATCATGGAAATCCAAAAGCTTGCTGATGTTTTTTTAAATACTATTTATTTGTTAAGGAAGATGATTGTTTACACCTCCAGTTACTTTTCTTAGACTCATGTTCATGTTGGTTCTTTATAAAACTAGAGAAATACTACAAATAACAACTTCAACCTTTAAAAAAAATCAGGACGCAGAGATTTTGATTGATTACATGTTTTCTGTTCTTTAAACAGAGTTGTAATTTTTACCTGCTGGTTCAAATATATACATTCACCTCCACTGTGTTTGGGGGTAGATGACCCTTCGAAGGTTTTAGAGAAGTCACATGACTTTTGTTTACAGAAAAATTGTTCTGTCTGTTTATGTGACCAATTTTCTTAGCATGAATGATAGATTTTGTTTTTTAGATTTGCTGGTTCCTTGTTTGGACCAGGCTTTAATGTAAATCAAGAACAACCAGGGAACTACCAAGGCTCAAGTTTGATAGAAAATTTTAAATTCTGGCGTTAATATTGTCACCGACAACGATGACACTACTTTAACACTATCGCAGACTGGGAGATGACCAAGGTAAAAAAGCATCTATTCCTAAAGCTTTGCCTTCAATTTCTTAGAAAATGTTTCTGCTTTAATCATCAATATGTAGTTTATTTTAAGAAGGAAGGTGTTATGGCCAGAGGGGATTAGAAGACTGTTAAAAAGCGAGCATACTGTACCTGTCCAGCATGGTGGTGGCAGCATTATACCCTGGGACAGTTTTACTATCAGTGGCAGTGAGGCATTGCAAAAATTGGATTGAGAAATATAGAGGGAGGACTTCCTTATAATGGCAAGGATAAAGGAGGCTTGATGTTTACTCAAAGCTATGCAAAAAATAAATCTATAAACCAATTTAAATAAAGGAATTTAACCAGTTATAACAAATATTTCTAATAAAAAAGTAGTCAGAATTAAAACAGCAAGTCATTTATCGTTACATATAGTCTGTGGTTTCCATTAAATATTAGTGAAAGTACTGAGTAAACCCCCAAGCTTTTACCTTTTTATTTTTATTTCAAGCAGGAAATATGTTTATGGGGGCAGGCATCTTTGAAATAATAATAATGTCAAACTGGTGTTAGTTTTGAATTTATAAAAATGCCATCATTGTTGATGTATTTCTAAATAATCAGTGGAGCCTTCTTTTTAATTGCTGACCATTTTTTCACTGGGAGTTTTACCATTTTTTTTCTTGATGATGAGCTTAAACATAGGGAGGCGTCCTCTTCATCACCATCATTTTTAGCATCTACAGTGGGGGAAATAAGTATTTGACCCCTTGCTGATTTTGCAGGTTTGCCCACTTACAAAGAATGCAACAATCTACAATTTTAATCATATGTACATTCTAACAGTGAGAGACAGAATCCCAAAGAAACTTCCAGAAATTCACATCATATGAATTTTGAAAAATTGATAACCATCTGATGAGGAAAAATAAGTATTTGACCCCCTACCAAACAGCATGTTAATATTTTGTAGAAAAGCCATTATTGGCCAGCACATGTTGGCCCACTCCTCCCTGCAGACAGTCTCCAAATCTTTCAGGTTCCGAGGTTGTCGCCTGTCAACTCGAATTTTAAGCTCCCTCCAAAGATTTTCAATTGGATTCAGGTCTGGAGACTGGCTAGACCACTCCAGAACCTTGATGTGCTTCTTCTTCAGCCACTCTTTTGTTGCTTTGGCGGTGTGCTTAGGGTCGGTGTCTTGCTGAAACTTCATGCGGGCCTGTACATGTTTCTTCTTGAGCAGGGGGACCTTGCGTGCGCTGCAGGATTTCAATCCATGATGGCGTAGTGTGTTACCAACGGTTTCTTTTGTAACTGTGGTCCCAGCTGCCTTCAGTTGATCCATCAGTTGCCCCCTTGTGGTTTTGGGATGATTCCTCACCGTTCGCATGATGAGGGACACCCCACGAGGAGAGATCTTGTGTGGAGGCCCAGACCGAGGGAGGTTGGCGGTGTTGTGGTGCTTCTTCCATTTCCTGATAACTGCACCGACAGTTGATCTTATCTCTCCAAGTTGCTTTCCGATTCTCTTGTAGCCCATCCCAGCCTTGTGCAGATCAACAATCTTGTCCCTGATGTCCGTAGAAAGCTCTTTGGTCTTGCCCATGGTGGTGATGTTGGATGCTGGTTGTTTGGGTGTTGATAGGTTTCTCTTATACAGTTAATGAGGTGAGGCAGGTGTTTTTGATGTAGATAATTGGTTGAGATTGGGGCTGTGTCTTAAAGAAAGGCTAACTGGCTTGTAGGAGCCAGAATACTTGGGAGGGGGCATTATACTTGTTTTTCCTCATCAGATGGTATCAATTTTTATAAATTCAAAATTTATATGATGTGAATTTCTGGAATTTTCTTTGGGATTCTGTCTCTCACTGTTAGAATGTACATATGATTAAATTTGTAGATTGTTGCATTCTTTGTAAATGGGCAAACCTGCAAAATCAGCAAGGGGTCAAATACTTATTTCCCCCTCTATATCAGCTTCATGTAGGGGCTCTGGATGGACCTCTTGAAAATATTACTCTATCTGAAAGAATATGTTGTTAAAATGAAAACATTACTTTATACCTAAATCTAGATCCTAACTCTACATTTAATAAATATAAAATCAACACTGAATTTATGGCTTGTTGCTTTTAGAGTGGATGGAAATATATAATTTAGAAAAACTAACCGCCATTGATAACTGATTACAGTTTGCCTTAAAATTTATTTCTGCTCCTCAGTTGACTAATGGTTGTGCAAGAGAACACTCAAACTATCCATACAATAAACTTCTTTTACTAAAACAACCTTAAAGGGCAGTAAATCCTGGAGCAGAAGTCGCCTGCTTTATGCCGTCGGGCTCTTTGGTTAAAGAAATGAGCCTTCCTCTCATCCGCTGAGAAAAGCTACAAGCTGACAATTTGAGCCACAGGAAATGCTCTGTTCTCCTTGAACCCCCTCTGAGCTGTGTGGCACCGAGCTACAATTAGCTTCTGACCTCAAATAATGGTGCTACTACAAGGATAGGCCACCTTAGCTGCCCCTGCCTGTGTTAGCGTGCCCCCCTCCCCCAGCCGAACAACCTTATATCACTGTTATCTTTCTAAGCAAACAAATTCGTTAACCCCTGTCTGTTTCTTTCTGTCCGGATTGGGGTAAACGTTTTCTTTTCACAGACGTCGGCTTTAATAAATCCTCTCCGAGTCAGAGTGTCGCGAGGAATGAATGTTCAGAGCCTCAATTAAACGTAGGTGCCAGGTTACTTCTAGCAGCCAAGGCAATTTGATAATTGAGGTTGTTAGAGTGAGAAGTCTGAAGGCTGGGGACAGCGCCGTCACGCTGTCCATACAACCCCCCCCACCAGCCGCTCCGTGGCTGCTGTCACAGTCAAACTCATTGTGTAATTTTTCAATCCAGCGCTTGTTGTATTCTGGACCCAACAGAGCCCACTGTGTGTGCATTCAAACCCACTCTCACCCTGCCAGGGGAGCTCTGCGGACGAGGGAAGCAATTTTGTCTTTTTTAATATTTAACCAAAATTGCAACAGCAAATATTGGCGTGAAGCAAGTTTCCTCTGGTTTCCCTGTATATATACACACACACACATACATAAACCCAGACATTTTCTCTGTGATAAATGGATCATAATTTTAAATTCTTATTAGTGATCGCTCTGTCAGTGCTATGTATGCAGAGGCTCATGTTTTTATTTATGAGAGCTGTTAATTGAGGAAATTGCTGGTTTGCGTTTTTTTCATATTCAGGAATTGATGAGTTGCTGTGAGTAAATATTGGGAAGTCAAACAGACGTCAGATGCACTGAATTAGGTTACCTGTCAGGTCCTGGATGTATACTGAATGATGCTTTACTCTGGCTCTGTCTGAATGTAGCCTGGAGAAAATCGCTCCCTTTGGGATGAGAAAAAACTCCCTCTGAAGCAAATCTGGGCACGGTTCAAAGAGGCTTATTGACACGGAGGTACTGAGGTCTATCAATGCTTCTTTTTTCCCTTTGTCTTGGCAGATAACGAACATCAGTAAGCTCAAAGACTTTCTGCTAGAACACCGAAAGGACTACGTGAGCGCCGGAAGGTAAGCTCCTGCAGTCAATTAAAGTATCCCTAAGCTGACCCCTGAAGAGGTCGGCTGCTGATTAGACAAAAAACAAAAACAAATCCTTCTCTCACTGTCTGACATTGAATCAGAATAACCTGCTGTATTTAGTTAGGTTTACAACTAAATCTATAAATGTCATGAAAATTAGTCAGAATAATGACTTAAAGTTTTACTCCTATCATTTTGTTTAAAGGCAATTCTAACAAATATATAGGGTGTCCCTCCAAAAGCTTCTCACAAACGTTTCCTGGAATCTTAACCCATTCCTCCTGGTATGAGGCGATTGCAAATCTTCCCTCTTGTTTTATAGAAATCTGAGACCAACGGTTGTAATGGCGTCTCCAAACGTTGACTTTAGTGTCCTCCCACCACTTCTTAAATAATTTAATCTTAAATATGGGTTTTATAGACCCATTGGTGCTAAAGCTTTGACTTCCATTCACGTCTTTTTTCAGATGTTGCTTCACAGTTTCAAGTTAACCTTTCTTCTTTGTAAAGGAAAGTCCTGTACTTTACGATTGGGAAGGTTTCTTCAGTCTTGCCTGTTCCTCCTAGCCTAGTTAACTAGCCCCACACGCCAGCGGCCAAAATCATTTTTGCCTTCGTGTTTGGTTTAGCCTCGATCAATGCCTCACAACGCAGAGATGTGTTTTTAATTTTTGGATGAGGGCGGGACGACAAAGCTGCACACAACAAGGAAGATGGCGACAACTATTGAACAGTTCTCGTTTGACTCAGCTTTGGAATCAGTTTTGGAAGGATTAGACTTGGGGTTTTCGTTGAAACGTGAGCAGGAAGAGGCTGTACGCTCATTGATTTTTAAGAAGGACGTATTTGCCGTTTTACCGACAGGCTGTTTGTTTACACTCCCCCACCAGCTTTCTGTCACGCTTACTACCGGTACTTCACAGTTAGTTGCGCACATTGGTCAGAGCATAGGCCAATAGGTGCAGATAGCGGTTTTGAAAGACAACGGGTTGTTCTCATCAACAATCTTCTGATGTCTCATTCATCTGGGCCAGGCTGAATTACACATTTAATCTCACATTTAGTCTGGTTTATCGGGGTATGTTCCTTCCTTTTCCCCTCCAGATTATGATAACGATCTGATATCAAACGCTTCATTTTTTGTTTTATCAAACCACAGGAAATTAAGTAATAAGTCCTTTATCTTTAAATGTATTTTAAAGCTGTAGTCTTTCTTTATCGTATTGCATTAAAGTAGAGATCTTCCTTGTTATTCAGTTGGATAGAGGAATGGATATAGAGCGAGGATGGATCTGTCTGTCTGTCTGTCTGTCTGTCTCTCTCCTCCCTTCCAGAATATAAACCTTTACAAATAGTGTTTGCTTTTAAGAGGCAATGAGTAATGTATTTGTTTTTAAATAATTAATTAGCCAAAAATCCACAGATCCTAAAAGGGTCCTGACCCCAGCCTTGAAGCCCTCTTTTTTAAAGCATTGCCTTTTCTCTCTGAGAGGCCTTTCAGCACATGTTGCTACAGGACCTGTTTGTGAAAACCAACATTGGGTATAGCCATGATGTTCACTAAAACACGTTCATCTCTAGGACATAGAACCCTGTGTGGTATGATTACTCTATTAAGATGGTCCCTAACTATGAATTGGAAATGTTGAGTTCCGGATTTCTCTTTAATTTTCCTATGAAGTCACCAGGTGAAGCTGTGTGCCTGAGATGGTGACTTTTTCAGGTGTTCTTTTATTTACCCCCAGTGTTGTGAATTGTTCCTTTCAGAGGCTGAAAAAAACCCATGATTTTATCAAGTGGGCAAAATTTGCTCAAATGTGTGTTGATGGCATTGTTTAAACACCTGTTTTTGAAGAAACTGATAAATAATTGCCTTTAATTGCTCTGGAATTTGGGGTATAGAAATAATTTCAAATGAGCAATAACAGAAAGTTTATTCTGATTTAATGTTACTGAGTGAGAAATAAAGGTTACGTGTATGTAAATAAAGCTGTATGTCTCCTGTTAGTGTGTGTGTGTGTGTCTGTGTGTACTGATAGCGGTGAGTGCTGGCAAAAGGTCAGCAGCGAGGAGGGTGGTCTGTTGTGGCAGGCTCCAGTCTAATTGTCCGGAATAATTGAGCTTCAACCAAGTGTAGAACAAATCACGCCCAGCGACTAATCCAGCCTTTCCTTTGCTTAAAGGCTTTCTGTTTTGTTGAGTGTGGAGGGTAGTCCTCTTCTAAGAGATATGTTGATAATTTCTCAGCCAAAAGCATTACCAAACGTATGTAGAAATGGAAGTTGCTTTAGTGCTGCAGCTTTCAGCAGAAGTTAAAGAAATAAGGATCCGTTTCTTTTATCTCCAGCCATTAACCGTTCCTCAGTTCATGGTTTTACCTCCAATTTAATAGTTTAAATCAGGGTTTCCGCAGGTCATTAAAAATCATTAAAAGTCATTAAATTATTATTTTTTTTAAATTAAGGCCTTAATTGGTATTAAAATTCATTAAATGTGATTATTGTGCCATTAAAAATTCTTTATTAAAAAAAAAATAAAAAAAATTTGTTTTCAGTTCCACGTGTCTATCATGTTCCACGTGTTTGCGCGGAACTGCTTCCGTTTGATCGTAAAGTTGTATGTTCGGTAAAGAAGCTTCAGGCAGAGAAAAGGCTAGAGAATAAGGAAAAATGCATATTTCAACAAAAGTGGCTGGAAAACGAGGAATTTGGGACATTGCTGCAGCCTGTCTGCGGTAAAGATGAAGGATTTTTCCATGTTTTTATATATATAGAGAGTCATGGGTAGTTTGTTCTAAGAGCATTAAATTAGACTTATAATTCCTGTATAGACCCTGTAAATAAAGGCAGTTTTTGAGCACTGTGAAGGAATATAATAAAAGAGTTGTACTGATTCCAGGATTTACAATTTAAAAACAGAAATATGAAATGATGCAAAACTCTTTATAGCTACAAACATCCACCGTTGGTAAGATTTCTATTTAGTTTGCCATCAATTGAGCCAAACCAGGAACACTTTTACCTTCTCAGTTGTTTATCTGTAAGAAATACTCGCTTAGCTCACTGTTGTCTATAAGAAAGAAGGAAACACATGTAGGTGGAATAATGTTCCTTTAAACAGCATTCTAGATCAAAATCATATTACAATTGCCTATTTGTTAGGGTTGTTTCATACATTTAAACTCAGAGTCCATGCATTAGCCTTTACTCTTTGCTCTACCAGAGCAAATTAATAAAACCAAGTAATTTAATGAATCTTTAGATTTGGTTCATCTTCTTTTTCTCTTGTCTAGCTTTGCATCCGTCTTTATTTACAACTTGTGGTGTTCTTGGGCCTTTGGGCTTGTTGTTGTGGAGCAGCACAAGTATATTAGAAGGTGAAATCAATCCAATAAGAAAGTCTTTTTTTTTGGATCATCTAAATAAGTGGTCCCCCTAATTGTCAATCATTCTGGTGATAAGTTGACGTAAGGTCGTCCTTTGTGCTCGTCTCCATTTTCACTTACCTGTGGTGAGTCTGACATCGTGGAAAAATTACAAATCTTCTTTTGGAAAGTAAGCTTGTATGGGCGACGCAAACAGCAACTTATAAACAGAGCGTGCACGAGGAGAAATGGGATTGAGGTTGCTCTCGCAAATGTTTAAAAGACATTCCCTCTCGGGAGCAGGTGCAGGGATGTGCTATTTTTTCTTAAAGTGGAGAGGGCAGGTCTTTTCAGAAATGTGCAAAAATCCTCCACCATACCTATAAGCACTTTTAGTCTTTATATGTTTCTGTGTTTTCTCTTAGATTTTATTATGTTTTCCCTCTGTGGCTGAGATGGAAGTCTTTAAATGTATGTGTTTGGGTATGAATGTGTGCAACTCTCATTTTCTAGAGGGATAGTTTATTATTGTAATGTTTTAGATAGTTTTCTGATCCCATGATTGAATGTGTTTTGTTTTTATTGTAGTCTTATCTCAACAGATCTTAGCCGTATGACCGACAGCGAACGGGACCAGATTGACCAGGATGCTCAGATCTTCATGAGGACCTGTTCTGAAGCCATCAAGCAGCTTCGCAATGAAGGTTTCTGTTGGATTTAGTTCTTCTACAGAATTTCTTCTATAAAAAAGTTTCAAACAAAACATAAGCTATTTCTGGTTATGATAAGTAGGAAATCCTGTATTTGTTTACCCCTAAGTTGGCTAAATTAACACAGTTATATAACATCCGGCACATATAGTTATTATTCAGCCCTTTGAAGGAAGTTTGCTCTGTTTAATCTTTAAAGATTAATTTTCTTTTTCTGACTGATGTTGGGCTGAACACCGCCGGGAGATCCACAGAGCAGTAAGGGTGACAAGACAAAGATTGTAGCCGCTTGTGAGTCTGATATTAGGTGTGAAAGGTCACTTATTGAAACTAGTGCTCAACATGTCAAATCTGACTGACTAAGCAAGTTTATATTGACACCAGAACAGAGGACATTTTTTGACACAAAGCAAATATAGATTTTTCAACTAGAACTCCCTTTATACCAACTATGAAACATGAAGGTGGAAGTGTCATGATTTACCGATAGTTTGCTACAGCTGAGCCTAGCAGCTCACCTCCATATAATCCACTATTAGATTAGATTAGATTCAACTTTATTGTCATTACACAGGTACAGGTACAAGGCAATGAAATGCAGTTTAGGTCTAACCAGAAGTGCAATAGCAGCAAGTGCAGAATAAATAATGGTTCCATAAATACAGGACATGGGTTTCTACTGAATAAGTATAGAGATGAATACTATTATAAATAATGAATATAGATCACTAGTGTTATGAACTAAATTTACAGCTGGATATGTACCGAATATAATATACAGGTGGATATTACTATAAAAAAAAAAAGGTTTTTACAGTTATGTACAATAGTATAATATACAGATGGGTTTTACTATAAAATGAATAAATAGAGTTTGGACAGAAGTTATCTAAATTAAAGTGCAGTGGAAGATAATTGCATATTACAGTTAAAGTATGTTATTGCAGATGTAAATGTAATCAATTGGTGCTATGAATTATTCTGTACATCAGAGGGTTCTTAAAGAAAAATTTGATATTCTGTATTAGAATTAAAGCTATAGTAGAGCTGAACTCTGCAACTTGACAATAACCCAACACACAGAGGACTGACTCAGAGTGAAGGAATGGGATGTTTTTGGTTGAGTCTTATTGAAAAGATGCGGTGAACTCGAAATGAGCTGAAAATGCAAGAAAACTCAAGTCAAATGTTCCCCAGACCGATGTTAGAGACCAGTCGATTATGTCGTCTCAATGGAATGGGATCATTTTCTTCAGCTATTGTTTTCTCTTCTCTGAGTAAAACAAGGTTGTTTTTGTTTTGAATCTTTCCAATCTTCAGTTAAATCTTCTTTATTAAATTTTGCTGTTATAAAACATAAGATGGATGATCTTGAATAGGGCTCTCCTATTTTCCCAGGGCTTTCGGTTAATCGAAAAAAATAATCGACAGATTAATTGATTTGCAAAATAATCGTTAGTTGCAGTCCTATTTTAACTGCATGTTTTTGTTCCTTTACATTTTTGAACAGTCCATGGCTGTGTCCGAATGTCCACACTAATCACTACATAGGACACTATATAGTGGTTACGCCATTTTAAATGAGTTACCGAACATCTAGTGGATGAGAATGTAGTAGAATCTAAATTTCCCAAAATGTCCCTTGAAAAGTAGTGATCATCGATCGTCAATAGACAAGCTGATATATCCCAGAATGCTTTACAAGAGCTCTCCTCGCAAAGCATCATGGGATTTGTTGTAACTAACAAAGATGACGCAGGCGCAGCATTACGTGGCCAACGCGAAGTAAAAAGTAGTGATGTCCCAAATGGTCAGTTAACTGAGTTCACTATAAAGTCCTCTATATAGACCCTGTTCTGTATAGTGATTGAGGATCAATCACTATACAGTGATTGATCCTCCTGCAGTAACAGTCCCTGTATTTGTCCATGAATTAAGATATTTTTTTTTTATCACAGTGGAGAAGCAGGCGGCATCAGCTCAGATTAAGGAGCACCGGGTTTTAGTTCTGGACCTCATTGAGATGTATCTGAAAGGTAATTTTCTGTAACTGTTTCATTGCTTCATAGCTCACCTCAAGTCACTGAACCCTGATCCTAGCAACAAACCTGCATGTTTATATCATGTTTGTGTTTGGAATTTGATTTTAGGAGTGTGTAAGCTTTACTCTGAGCAGAGAGCCATTAGAGTCAAGAGAATGGTGGACAAGAAGAGGCTGTGAGTATATGTGTGCTTCATTCAAAAAACTTTTACCAACTTGAGATTTAAGGGATTCTAACTGTGAGCAATCCAAATATAATGGTTTCAGATCTAGATTGACACCAGAGCATCCTGGTAAAGTGGAGAAAACCGTGGAGTTGGAGCCTGCAGAGGAGAAAGTGGTTAAGGAGGAAAGTCCTGGTAAGTTAGAGAGAACCAGGGCTCAAAATCCTCAAAGACTGGGGTGAGATACCATGCTGTGATAACATCACGCTTTGTGGATGTTGAAATAACCTAAACCCATATTGTTCATCTATCTACAGGCCAGAGTGTTGTATTTAGGATCTGTTTACAGTGTGAGCAGCAGGAAATTTTAGGTCAAAGACACAATCTGAACTTCATTTACTGATTTATGTGATTAAAGCCTTTAAAGGAAAGAAAAGTGGATATGCAACCTTTATTCATTGTCACAAGAATGTAATTGTCTTTCCTTTTTTTTAAGGTAACTTAAAAAGGCTGAGTGTTAAACTGTACCACATTATTTTCCTAATTGATAACAAGGATATTTCTTCCTCTTATCCCTTTTCTACTGTTCCCAAGGCAAAGTTTTTCCATCAGCAGGCTGCTGGAGACCTCTTAATTCTTCATCCCCCCCTAGTCGTTGATTCCAGTTGTCAAGAAGATTCTTCTAATACAGCCTTAGATGGGATTCTTTACCTGTGAAATGCTGCAGGATGGCCATAGAGATCCTTTTAGGTTTAGCAGAGATCCAAACCAAAATCACATCCTGATTGTATGGAGAGAACTGAGCCACAGGGTGAAAAACAAACTCCAACTGAAACACAGAGATCTGCTCCAAAGAGCGGAGAGAGCAACTATCTTAGCTTGGTGATTGCAGGAAGAAGGCCTTTAGAAGTACGTCCCAATAAATTAGAAAACCCATTAAGATTTTATAATTTAATGCAGTTTTGTTTTTTTTTAGTTTTGGAGGGATTAACACAAGCTTGTTTTAGGAAAGGTTGAGTGGAAGGAAAAAAATGTGGTAGTTAAAGGTGCACAAGCAACAGAGGTGCTAACAGCTGGACCCGAGCTTAACAGGATTGTAAAGAAAAGCCTTTATTTTAAAAAAAAACTTCTAAGACCTCAATTTGATTTAAAGTAAGAGCTCAAAGATCCAGCTTATTATTATTATTATTATTATTATTATTATTATTAATAATATTATTAATATTATTATTAATTAACATAAATAAAAATAAACACTGAGAATAAATCCATTATAGGCTTTTTTAAAGGAACTTTAAATTCGTTTTACTTTAAATTAATTACTGAAACTTTTAGTGTTTTTCTAATTTACTAAGATGCAATTACCAACTGCTTCAAGATGTATTATGTGTGGCTTTAAACATTTATCATTAATGTTTTAAAGAAAATATTGATTTGTTTAATGCAGTTTATCCTTCTTTTTATTTAGAGATTTTAATTGAATCATAGAAACTCGATCAGATAAGAGAAACTGAGTTGGAAATTAACTTCCCCTCATTTACATAAGATAATAACTAATAAGCATAACCTACAGGATAACAGTTGGTATTAAATAATAGGAGAAATAAGAAGACATTAGAAGTTAATCTAATTTTATTGAGTTTAATTAAAAATTGAAGATGATGCTGCCTTACTTTGATTTATTACACAAACATAGCTTGAAAATTATATTTTTGCGCATATATTTAGCAATTTAGGTTTGCTGAAGCTGAAACTAATTGCATGGCTCTAATGTTGAGTAATTTTTTTAATTATTTTTTTAAATCTGTGTTTTAGAGAAGACTGTATCAGAAGTTCGGGTCAACGGGATCAACCATTGGGAGGAGGGCAGAGTGGAGGACGAGCTTTCTCCTGAGGAGATCCAGATGGTGGGCAGCATTCTGGTTCCAGCTAAAGGAATATAAACGTTAGAGTTGTATGGGTTTCAGGTGTCATATGAATGTAAAGCAATTCTATTATATCAAAAAACAAAAAAAAAACATCTGTAATAAGATTAAAATGAACAGAAAGTTGAAAACATAACTGGGTGAATTTTATTTTTTATTGCAGAAATAGTCAGCTGTATTGGTTTGGAAGTTTACCTTTTAGACAACGAGGAATGTTCATAACTTTGTGTTTAATTTATGTGATTTAAATAATTGTGGATGTGTTTTTTGTTTCCATCCAGTTTGAACAAGAAAACCAGAGATTGGTCAGTGAGATGAACAGCCTGGTGGATGAAGTAAGGTCAGTTTTTTCTGCTGAACTCAACAGGTGGTTCAGCTCAGGAGAAAACAGGACATTTACCATGTGAACACAGTCATTTTACATTAAAAACAGAAAAAGGAAACTTTAATTTAGGGTGATTTGAGATGGATGAAAGCTACCTAATCCTGAAATTTACAATGGAAAGACTATGTATGATTTACACTGCATGTCTCTAATTCTTACCTTTTAAACCCACCAGGCAAATTGAAGGAAAAGTGGTTGAGATTTCACGACTTCAAGAGATCTTTGCTGAAAAAGTGCTCCAACAAGTAAGATGTCCTATTTTTTTATTCTCTCATTCTGTCTCTTTAAATGCACCTGTGCATAAAGCTACCATCCGCTTGGCTTCCTGAAACAGGAGAGCGACATAGATAATATTCACCAGCTGGTGGTGGGAGCGACAGAGAACGTCAAAGAAGGAAATGAGGATATCCGAGAGGTAGATTTAATCTTATACTTTGTGTTTTATGTGCTGGAGGAAAATATAACTAGAGTAACTTTATTTTGTTCTGTTTTCCAAGGCAATCAAAAACAATGCTGGCTTCCGAGTGTGGATCCTCTTCTTCCTCGTCATGTGCTCCTTCTCTCTCTTATTTCTGGACTGGTATGACAGCTAACAGGCTCCATGAAAGGACTAAAGTGTACTGTTGTTGTTTGACGTGATGACAGCATTTGGACGGAACGTTCAGCCCGCTCTGCTTCACTTGGCGGACAAGTCGTTCCTCATGAAGACTGTGTTTAAGTAGAGCAAACGCACTGTCTGTTCTGCAGATGTAATTTTCTCTGTCCGATGCTTTAAGAGGAGCTTTGATAGATGAGTTATCTTCTGTTGACTGAGTTCTGTCTCCATATTAAATGCAATCCGGGGATTATCGGATAGATATTTCCTGCACAAAAAAACTGTTAGAATATAACAGGTTTTTTTTTGTGTTTTCTAATCCTGCTACATGATAAAATGTCTGTGTTTCAAATTAATGAAAATCTACATAAACACCACTTTTATTTTAAACAAGTACCCTTGGCTGGATTTTAGTTATTTTTCTATAAACCAGGTCTGTTTTGTTTTTTTGTTCAAGAACATGAAGTTCTACAGTTAGCCACCGGGTGTCGCTGATTACCCAGCTATTCAGCTTCATTACACGTTCATCTTGCAATAAGGCCTAACCTCTCTTTGTCACCCAGCATTAACAGACTTTCCAAATATTTGTTATCTCACTTTATATCCCAAAAAAACTATTTCATTTTTTCTGTTATCAGTGTCCTGTTGAAACCGTTTCATCCACTAGACCCAAACTTTGGGAAAGAGCAAAAAATTTTAATCTGTCCCTTTGTCAGTTTGTCTCATCCACGTTATCAGTCGCCACAGCTCTTGTTTTCAAGTCTAATGGCATGAAGATTGAACAGTTTGTGGTACGGGGGGTCTGGCGACCCAAAATTAATTCTTAGAGCCTTTCCAAATATTTTTTATCTCACTTTATATCCCAAAAAACTATTTTATTTTTCTGTTATCAGTGTATTGTTGAAACCGTTTCATCCACTGGACCCAAACTTTCACCATTAAATAATATGAAAGGATCAGTTTAGGAGGTTAAGAAAGCAAACCAGTAACCACTTAAGCCTATCTTAAACTGGAAGATAATGGGTAACCAGTGTCTCTGTTCTCGGTGAACAGATTGATACATTACTATGGAGTGAGCGGGAGTAAACCAGCTCTTTAGAGCCTCTACTGTGCCTCTTAATAGTGGCTTGAAATGATTAAGCACCAACTAATGATTTTGAATATAGAAGGTTTACATACCCTTCCTTTAACAACAGAAAGCAATCAGCTGTCAGTAAAATCAATAAAAAATGACTAAAGTAATAATAAATAAAAGAGAACTTAGATTAATTTATGACAAAAATTCAAAATCAATATTTGATTTTACCGAATTATAAACTCTAATCATCATTTCGAAGCATCTCTAACTGTAGTATATTAATGCCATTCTTACAAACTTTTTTTTTTTTTAAGAACATTTGAATTTAATTTTCACTACAAGTGACATTAAATAATCAGGAATATGTTTTTTTATCTATTTCTTTTCCATTTCTTAAAGACTGTATCAAGTCCTGCTTTCTAAGAAAGTAGCACTTGAGCATAGTGTTGGCAGTATGATGCTGATGGGCTGTTTTTCTCTGGGTGGAGTAAGGAAAGAGGACCGAGTCAGGCCTAAACCTGCAGGACAAACTATAGGACATGTTTAAATCATCCAGATAACAACAAACCTTAACTCTAAGGACTACAAAAGCAATTTATCACTAACTTGCTAACAGCTGTGGCTGTATGTATATATTTGAG